TATCCTTCCCCACTTTAGCCGTCTTTATTTCCAGTGCCTCTGGTACTGGGATAGCTTGCAACACCTTTTTCTGTGTCTCCTTGCTTACATTCATCTGCGATCATACTTCTCCCGTCCGGGAGAAATATGATCGCCTCATCGGTATCTGGCGCAAGCGGTTCCTTTTTCTTTTCGTTAACTTCTTTGAGCTTTCCACTTTCACTTTTCTTCTCCGGTGCCTCTGGTACCGGGATTATCCGTTGGCTAATCTCGTTCGGCTGCACTCTCGTCATTCCCGGTGCCTCTGGTACTGGGATGACCTTTTCTCTTCCCTTTTGTGTCGGCATTGTCCGATTTAATGTGTTTTCGATCTCCTGCTGAATCATTTGCAACTGCTCAAATGGTGACAAATCTTTTCGCGTCATCTTTTTCTTTTCGTTTCCCGGTGCCTCTGGTACTGGGATTAGCGTTTATTAACCGTTTGAGAATTTCCCGTCTGTTTTACAAGTTCGGTGACCTTTCCGACTTGAACTTTGGCGACTGGTTTGGGGTCATCTTCTTTCTCTTCTTCGCCTTCATTATCCATCAGTACGAACTTCTTCTCTAAGAAGTCGAATCCCAGTAGCACTTGTACGTCGTCGCACTTCGGTCGGACGTAGAAGGAATGTTCGCTTGTCTTCTTTCGTAAGGTCACTGGTGCTACGCAGTAATGCGTCACCAGGAATCCTGACGTTCCGCTAATTCCGTTTATTTTCACCAGTCTATCTGGTGGCAATGGGAGCATATGAAGTCCATTCTTCTCGCAAAACGGTTTGCTGATCAGCGACGTCTCAGCGCCGGTGTCCAGCATTGCGTTGACCTTTATATCTCCCACTTTCACTTCATGTGTGTATGCTTCAATTCTTTTGGGCAATTTTCCGTTTTGAATCTTCAAGGTGTGAATCTTACATTTCACAGGGATAAGCGATACTGGTCCCGGGTCCATATCGGGAAGCACTTGTCCTTTTGCTGGAGTGCTGTGACCTTTCAGTATCTCGCTCAGCTTATCAATCCTATGTGGAACATTAGTCCGAACGTCGTAATATTTTCGCGGCTTTTCTTTATTTGTTCGCTTCTCTGTAGCCATTTTATCACCGATGACCTTTTCCACGTTCTGCACTTGCTCATTTGCTTTTGTGCTCTCCATGTGACCTTTAGTCACTTCATTTATCGTTTGATGGATCAGTTCCTCTTTGCGATTTTCATTTCGTTTATCTCTCAACTTCTCAATGACTTCACTTGTTATTTGGTCCGCTCGCTTCAGTTCGTCTTCTTCGCTATCTTTCTTCTCATCTGGTGACCTTTCATATGTAACCATGTCATATCCCTTTTCGGTCATCCATTGCATCACTTTTGCAGATACTTCATTGTTCGTTTTCGTTGGGTCAATTTGCGAAGACATCCCGTCTGTTCGGGCTGGTGACTTGTCATTGGCATCCTTTTGCAGTGCTTGTGATAAGTCCCGTGACCTTTCAACTGCGCTACTCTGTTGCGTTTGCGCTATCTCATTTGACCGTCCTTTTTGTTCATTTTGCGCTAAGTCCTGTGACCTTTCGTTGCGCTTCATGACAAATCCGCCACCTGTCAGCTTTTGTATGGGGACTTTTTCTCCATAATTCGGCGGTTTATCCTGTGGTGGAGCATTGCGTGAATGATTCCAGTCAGCGAATGTCTTCTTATATTCCTCTGGATTGAATACTGGGATTGGGTTCGGTGACCCTTGCGCTGGTTTCCCGGTAACCAACTCTTCTAGTCGCTTTCTTTCACATTGCGTTCGCAACTGTTGCATGTCCCAGTAGTCGTCTTGTGACATTTTCGCTTTCTGCTTTGCCTTCGGCGTTACGGGTATCCACATCCCGTGATTGCCGTTCGGTCTGTAGGCCACTTTTTGCCACTTTTCCTTCTGTTGCAGCGTTATTGCATCTACAAGTGAGTCATCGGAGTTCTGTTGTGCCAATTCGCCATTCTTTTGCTGCGCTGTTCGCAGTGTCAAGTCTGTTTCTTGACCTTTTAACACGACGCTGTCGCCGTGACCTTTCGCATTCGCACTCGCTCCTTGACCTTTAACGTGGACTTTTCCAACAGAAGGTGACCTTTCATCTTTACTAATGACGGTGATATTCTGCTTAATCCATTCTTGCCTTATTCGCTTCTCTTCTTCGTCTTCTGAACAATTCCAAAACTTTGGCTTTGGTTCCCCGTAACAATCGCACCTTGGCTCATTCGCCTTGTCGTTTTCTGCCAAGTATTTCCGGAATTTCGCGTGTTGCTCATTTCCCTCTTGCGCAGTATCGTTCTGCGGTGGTGAATTTTGGTCTTTCGATTTGCCATTTATCTGTTTCCGGAACCATTCGTGGTGCATTTCCACTTCTTCTGCGGTATCAGTTTGTGGTTTCTTCTGGTTTAACAGCGCTTGTTGAATCTTGGCATTACGTAATGCACGACGTTCAGCTAGCACTTTCTCGCTGCAATACGGTGACCTTTCATTTTGCTGCACTTTTTGCAGTGTCGCGCTACCGTCACGACAATTTCCACTCGCAGTACCATTCTGCGGTGACCTTTGATTCTGTGACGGTATCCTTATAACCGTTCCATTTTCTTTTTGCGATGACGGCATCCATATAGCCGTTTCTCTTTGCTGTGGCGGCATCCATCTAGCCGTTTCTTGTGGTTGCGGCATCCATATAGCCGGTCCATTTTGCTTTTTCGCTGACGGCATCCATATAGCCGTCGCAGTGGTCACATTCACTGCAGTACCATTCTGCAGTGGTGACCTTTCCCTTTTATCCGGTGGTTTAGGGTCGGGTCGATCAGTAGGCTCACCGGTGCCTACTGATCTTGCCCGTTTCCCTGAACCGGCGCCCCGCCTTGTTGCGCGCCTTGCACATTTCCTTGTTGTTCATTCACCGGGCCACCTCCGTTTGGCTGGCCACCACCCTGTTGGTAGTTTCCGCCTCCGCCATTTCCACCGCCTCTGTAATTTCCGCGGCCATAGCCTCTGTTCCTTCCTCTGAAGCCGCCGCGGCCAAAGCCACCGCCGCGATAGCCGCCTTGGCCGCCCCCATTTCCATTTCCATAGTTCCGTTACCTTGCTGAAAGTTCGCTTTCGCCTGGTACCATTGCGTGATCAGGTCATATCCATTTGCGACTGCTTGGCGCCAACCACCGAGCCCACAGTCGTTGCCACTCGTTGAAGGCAAACAGGTTTGGGTTCTGTTCCGGTGGTGTATTGGCGAATTTGCATCCCTGGGTCTGGTGGTTGCCATACATACAGTACTGGCACATCTGCACATTGTTCGCCACCCATCCGTCAATCATCTGGAACTTAAACTCAGTTCGTGAATCTCTGTTCCCTTGTTGACCCTGATGGAAGTTCCCTGACCTGTTGATTCCCTCCTGTGGTATTCATCCATTTCTGTGGTGCACCATTCTGACCTTCTGTACCTCACTGAGCTGCTGCCTGTATCGCCGCCACCATTGCATATGTTATCGGTTGTCCCGTCTGACTGTCGATAAAGGTCACCTTTTCGGTGACCCTCTGACCGGAGTCTCCACGGTACTCAACCGGCTGCTGGACTTGGCGCAGCTGCCATTCTCTGTTGCGGTACATTTTCGACTTGCCTTGGCGAATGGTCACGTATTCCTGATTACGTTGACCTTTAGGCGCCTTATATTTCTCTTCGCCGGTGGCCCAATGTCGGAAGAAGTCCTTCACGTCCGTTGGCGTCTTGCACTTTTGTATCCGCAATGCCTTGTAGAGTTCATTGTCTCCTCTACATCCTTCAATTAAGAATCCGACTGCTTGTTTCTCCGTGATGATTCTTTTTGCTTTAAATTGCATCATCGCCTGATAATACTGGTCCAGCGATTCCTTTCCGAGTTCAAATTTCCTTGCATAGGCCTCACGTAAGCCTAAGACTTCTTCATCTCGATCACCATATTCATCTTTGAATTTGTCCATCCACTCTGTTATTGAGTATTCAATTCCATCTTCGGCTGCGATGTCCTTTTCCCCTTCAAACCATGTTTTTGCAGGACCTTTCACCGCACTTGCTATCTCAATCATGATCTGATCGTCCGTGAGCTGGTAAGTCCTTTGTGTTTCTTTCACTAATCGTGTCCACCCACTCACTGTGTCACGACTGCCGTCAAAGGTCATGAGTGGTGTTTTCCTGGCCATCGAGTTAAGTGCTTTTGTCAATTGCACCGCTGTATTTTCTGCTCTCTGGTCATCGTCTTCTTCGCTACTTCCATCATCACTTTGATTTCGTTTCGCCTTTCCATACCGGGATTTCCTAGGACGCTCCTGCCGGCTGGGTGGTCTGTCCCGTCGCCCTTCATCGATGAACACATTTGTTTCCATGTGCGGGGGAAATTGTGAAGGGTCACCTCGACTCATATGCGGGTAACTTTCCGATGGTGGTTCTTTGTCATCTTTAGCCTTTTCCCCGTCCTTTTCGTTTTTGACACTTCCTCTGCCAGTACCAGTTCGTAGCGGCATATCGAAGTGGAAGCTTTACCCGTGCCCGTTTCATGCGCCTTGCTGTAACTGGGCGGGGGCGATTCCACCGTTGATGTTCTAACTCCGTGTTGTAGGAGCTGTTCATCTTTGTGTTTGTTGGACATTTGAAGAGCTTTATTCTCATCTTCAAGGCGCTTAATCCTTAAATCGAATTGTTCTTTCTCATTCTTCAGGTTCTGATTCTCTTGGTTGACCTTCGACATCTGCTGATGCAGTTGAAGCGTTTTGTCTTGAATGACCTTTTCAGTATCATTTTCCACTTTCCTGATGTGTCCCGCCAACTGGGTCACATCCCTTTCCAACGTCATGTATTCTTCGGCTGCTGCTTTCAGCTGATTTTTCGTCACGGTGACCTCATCTTCTCTTGTCATCGCCGTTTGTGTCATATCAATCAGCTCCGTATTCAGTCTGATAATCTCCTGTGTCTTCTGATGGACCGTTTGTTGCCACTCTTTATCCTTCAAAACTCGAGCACTGTGACCTTTTCGTCCAAAAGGTGTGTCTCATGTTCCCACTTCATGCCTTGCTCGGCAATTGTCTTAGCAGTCTTTTTCAACTCGGTATTCTCTTCGGTGACCTTTCGAACATCTTCTTTCAACGACTTGTTCTCTTCCATCACCTGCTTAATTTCATTCTTCAGCCTCACACCTTCAGTGGCTGTGAGCTCCCTCAGGTCCTTAGCCACTTTGACAGCGTCATCGGCTCTCTTCTGATGATCTTGTGATTCTTTCTGAAGGGTTCCAATGTTCTCGTCCCGTAACTTCAATTCATTTCTCAACTTAAACACTTCGTTGGTGTTTGTCAGCAATCGTTGGGTCACGTCGACGAGTTTGGCCGCGTATTCGTCTCGCTTGGCTTCCGCTTCGGTGACCTTAAGTTTAAGTGAGTCACATTCGTCCTTCAATTCCGCTAAGTGCCGTGACCTTTCGGCTGATTCCTCTGACATGCTCTCGTTGAGGTCACTGACTGCAAGATGACCTTCCATTTCTCTGTCATCCACCATTTTCAAGTACTCTTCAGCGAGTTCTTTTTGACGCTCGTATTTGATCTTCCATTCGTCCGCTGCACTTTCCAAATCCACCTGTTGTTGTTCCAGCTCATAAATACGAGCATCCAGAGATCCTATCCGATTTTGATATTCCTGTTTCTTCTTCGTCACTAGGCCTTCCTTGGCTTCGAGTTCTTCTTCCAACTCCTTCACGCGTCTCTTGAGAGTTGACGTGGGGCTGTTCGGTGATGGCGGTCTAACATTGATGACCTTTCCAGTTTGTGTCCTTTCAATAAGGTGCTCGGGTATGTCCTTAAACGGTGTCATCCCTTCAGCACGGTCAGCTTCTTTCATCGCGGTCTGGAAGGACATATTCATTGTCGCTTCATCATCCGTGAAGTATGACTCGTTCGATTCGTCTGAGACCATCGGAGTTGCCCAAAAATCATCACCGACAGTCTTATCGTGCAGTGAAAGGTCATCCAATCCCAGTTCAGCCAATTCCATTTCTGTGACCTTTGTCCTGCCAGCTTCCGACTGAACCAGGTTTACATTTTTATCCTGTTCAGTAGTTCCGATAGTGGTAGCATCCGACTGTGATGCTCCAACTAGTTCCACTCCTTTCCCTGTGGGTATTTCCTCCCCGGTGACCTTTTTCTGGTTCATCGGATCGCTTCCCGCCGTAGACGCGGGAGTGTGCTTCTGGTCGTCGCTTGAACTTTCCTGATTGGCGACCGCCTCGAGCGCCTTCTGATAAGTGCTATCAGAGCCTCGTGAATCCTTCTTCTCGAATGCCTTGGGCGCTCGAGTGTTCCGCTCATGTCCAACTGGACGTGAGTACGGGTACAGATCCTTTTTGTATGGATTTGGTGCGCTTTGCTGTGAGCTACGGGAGCTTTTGCTTCCCTGACTGCTGTTAGATGTCGGTTCCTCTTGTTCTCTGTCCATGTTGATCGGATAACTTGGACGCTCCTGTCAATTGTTCTCACACACACGTTATTGTATGGTTTATTCAATAATCCTAAAGGTCACTCTGAACCTCCGAAATTTTTCTAAGTCCTTATTAAAGGTCACTTTTCGACTGAAAAATTTCGACTAAGTCCTTTGTAAAGGTCACTTTTTCGGTAAAAAGTTCGAGAGATTTGCCCTAAAAGGTCACTTTCGGACAAAACTTCGAAACCGCTTTTACAGCTCAGAATACGTTAGCGAATGAAATCCTACAGCTACTGATATCGCTGTACTATTAATCAACTCAATTCCAACTCCGTTAAAGGTCACCGTTGATCACTTTCAGATCATAAAGGTCACTAAAATTAGGTCAATTTGATCAATTCGAGCTTTTTGGTAAAGGTCACTTTTCAAAGTCAAAAGTCAACTTCTGGTCTCAAAGGTCACTTTCCGACTCAACTCAACTCAAAGGGTCACTTTCCAGTTCAATTTCTGTTAAAAGGTCACTTTCCGCTCAATTCCAGTTAAAGGTCACTTTTAAGCTCAATTCGATCAAAGGTCACTTTTCCTTTGTCTCCACTCAAAAGGTCACTTTTCGTCTCAATTATCTTATCTCAAATCAAATTTCCCATTACAGCTAGAGTTCAGCGGAAAATCCCCATTCGGGTTGTTTACTTCTTTCTGATTGGTCCGCTAGCTCAAAATATTCAGTTCAAATTTCGGCCAATCACAGCTCAGATAACTGACCAATCACGTTATTCCGTTAAAAATTTTTATCTGCCTGACGTCACGGTCAACGGCCAGACATGCGCGCCGCGTGCAAAACTCCGCCTACTTCTACGCTCAGCTCAGTACGGACCAATTAAAAATGAGAATTTTACCATCTAACCAATCCCGTAATTAATAACGGGTTTTCTACCTGTTTCCTCGTCCGTTCCACGAGAATCGATCCAGATGATCCAGATTCTTCTTCCACTGTCCGTTCCCGCGCTGCCGCCGGTTTTACCGTAACGGTTGTGCCGCACGCTTTTGGTCGGTTACTGTGCCGGCTGACTGCCGTAGCAACGGTAGTGGTGCTCTACTCCAGTTTGGAGGAGTCTGATCTGTCTTTTCCGTGCGCCCCTTTCAGCGCTTCGCCTCCTGTGGCCCACGGCTTAGGATTCGCTGAATCCTTGCCGAGTAACGGTGACACCAGTGCAGGTCTTCGCTGAAGACTCGCACCGAGAACACCGCCGACTGAACTCTTGAACTCTTTCACAGCAGTGGAACAGCACAGGTCTTCGCTGAAGACACTGCACCGAAACCAAGGCTGGTAATCCCGTCCGATGAGGAACTTGCACCGCTTGTGGTGTTGCGCTTTGCTGTCGGATAGACCTGTGCCTTACTGGTCGGGTTTCACGTCAAATAACAGGCCAACTTTGCCTGACACAAATCAAATCAGAGAACCGCTGTCGGCTCTGCTACCATCTAATGCTAGATCCAACTGTGATCCAGATACGGAGACCTAAACGGAATAGATCCCGTGGAGTGAGCTATGCGATTAGTATAGCGAACTACGCGTAATCACGAAACGTCGCACCGCTAATAGCTGACTTTTAATTGGAAATTCCGACAACAGAAAATCAATAATGATCGGCGCAGCTCGATCGTAAAGCGTGGAGCCCATTCAACAGTGTGTAACACTGTGCAGCACGTGCTATGCCGCGCCCACTAACACAACTCAAGCCAATCAGAAGAGACACAACACAGACACGTAATCCTAAGGCGTAGCGCCACAGGCGTAGCGCCACTGACGTGAACGCTAGTGATCCCGGTCTCACACGGCCAATCGTATTCGGTCACCATTCTACTTTAACTTTGCCCGCTGGATTCACGGCTTCGATATGCTGAATCAGTTTTTGGCATTCGGTGACACGTTGAACGGTCGAAGGCGAAGATCGAGTCGTGTATTCTTTGCTGCTGTACTTACCTTTAAGTGTTTCTACAGTGCTCCAGTTTAATTCACTCGCTGCTTACGGAACCGCTTACGTTATCCGAGAACGGACAATCTAGAACTCCCGTAAAGTCATTTGCGCTAATTGAGATAGACAGCAGTGGTGGTAAAAAAAGTTATTTCACACTTTAAAATTACAGTACTGTAGCTGCTTAGAACCATCACCAGCAAACGGAGCACTCCAGTGTCAGCCATGGTGGACGCAGTATGCTTCAGCAACAGTGTGGATGTTCTGGGAGACGACAGCCTGCTGCGCTACGGGCGCGTCGTGGACGTGGCCAAGACCGGGCTCTTCATCGACTTCCTCTGTCCCCAACGACGACGCGAGTTCACGCCATTCAGTCAGGTTTTCTTACGTGATACATCAGTTGCTGCGCTTATCGATTCTCTTATAACTCACGGTCACGGACCTTGCGGTTTTTCCAAACTTCGCGGTCTGACCAAACCTGTGGAGCTACTGGTACGGGAGACTGCGTCCGGATCATGGATGTGGTTACCGGCCGAAGTTCTCAACTTGACGGACGGTATTCCAAACTCCCAGGATGACGTGGCCGTCGCTAAATGGTGGAACAACGGACGCTGGTGCGTAGATATTTTCCCACGGAATCGGACTCGTTCCCGAACGGGGATGCAATGGTGGACGAAAATCGGTCGGCCGATTCCAGCTGCGTATCTGTCCGATTCTATGGGATCTGACGTTCGCGATAAGCAGCCTGTGATGGTGGGCGAAGAGGATTATCAAATGTGGAGCGTGCAGTTGCCGGAAACTAACGGCCGTCTCTCCGTCGAAGATGTACTTAAACGCGTGCAAAGCGATAAATGGGTGCTACTAGAGCACGAGAGGATAGCGGCTTGCGTTGAGATCGCCAACGGACATTTGTGGTACATTGTTCGACGGAACAAGGAAAAGGATGGCGTGTCTTTCGCGGTAAGAGCAGTGCGGAGACCACTAATATACTTCGCGAAGGCCGCTAAAAAACCTTTGATATTTACAGAAATCTTGTGAATGGTTCGGAATAGAACTGATTCAGCGTCTTCCACTGATAATGGCAACGACGGATGGAAACATCGAGGGTGACATCGGCGCACTATCACTGGATTTGTTGCTGAACGCGTTTTCGGTACTGGAAACCCTGAAGCAAACCGAATTGCGCGCCGTGTGTGCTAAGTGGGACGCCCTCTTGCAATCGCCGCAGCTGACCAGTACTATAATTGTGAAGAGCTATGGACGAAATCTGTTGGAGGGATGTGGCCATTCCATGCGCGTCTACCTGCTGACGTCTCCTATTTTTAAATGCCTTCGTTCCACGACCAGGCGGATCATTGTGGCATCCCGGGGACGGATCCTGCACGAACGTGATTACTGTACAATTTTCGCCATGATCGGTTTTGTTGCGCGCCATAACGCCGGCATTCATCTGACCGCCATCCATTTGGTGGGCGGACGTTTCGAACTGCTGATGGGATCAGGGAAGGACAACGTACACTACGCCGAATGCTATTCACATCTGCCGGAAAACCTGTCCTCTGACAAGTACAAATTCACGGAGCGCCACTTTCGCTTGATCGATTTCGTGGGAACTTTGCGCGGCAGTCCGTGTGATGTCATCTCCTTGGTCAAGTGTGTAGTGCAGCTGGAGTACCGAAGTCCAATCAGTAACTATGAATTTTCACGGCCCAAGCTGCTGATCAGTGTTATCGCGGGGCGGGCGTCAACGACGGATGATGTGGGTAGCGCGATGTGGAATGTTCTGGAGGATGCACTGCCGGCGGTGACTGACGAGCAGTTTCAGATGCTGGGACGATATCTAACTGTGCTGGCCGTCCACGGGAACGCTGATGATTTCTTGCAACGGGGCGCAAATTCAAACCGCCAGGTGAAACGAAAAGGTCTCTCAAATCTTCGGGTGAACAAAATAATTGAGATTCTTGTTGCAGATGTTGTGTACTGTGCAGACCGCTGATCCGCGGGAGACCGTGTATTGTCGCGGAAAGCATTGGTGCGTGGATGGACTGCAGGATTTGGAGCTGGAGAAAGTGTCCCGAATCACGCTGCACTTTCTGATGCAAATGGCGCGATTGCAGTGTCGGTTCTGGCCAGGCTGTGTCCATCGTGCTTTACGTGGTCTGCAGATCGCTGATTGGCCTGATGTCGTCGCGTATTTCCGCAGTTTTTGATGGGAAAACTGGAGCTTTTTCTACACTATGGTGGTGGAGAATTTTTTAGAATTTCGTTTGATTTTCGAGAATTGAATGAAGCCAGTGTTTAACCGATCTAATGATATCGTCAAACCGGCTCCAACCAGACTGAATCGGGAGCGATCGACGATAGTGTCATTTTCCTAATTAAAGCAATATTATTAAAAGAGAAAGGGCTCTTATGCAAAGGGTACACCGCTGACGATCAACAACTTACATCTGCAGATGGGGAAGGTGTCCCGCATCACGCAGCCCTTTTAATGGAGATGGCAAGATGCCAGTGTCGGTGTATTCGGGATGATGGGGATCTTGCACAGGATCGCAATGCTGACTGTGTTAAATACTTTTGCCGTTCTCTTTAATAAATGAAGAGGGTAATCCTTGAGTGATGGGAATGTTTTAGTTTGTCATGCATGGAGAACATCGCAGGTTTAAGGTGTTCTTGTGTTGTCTTGGTTTACCAATTCGATGAGAATGTCTTAGAATGTTGTTTCATGCTTTGAGAGCTTCTGAATTTTCGGCTGACCTTTTTGTGCCTTGATGAACAACCGGATTTACAGTGTCGGTTTTATCTTGATAATCGTACTCGTACCGAACCATCATGGGAAATGGGATTATTGTTGGTGTCCAAATTCCAATTTAACATGTTTAATTGTTATTAATGTGGCGTATGAGTATTGTGCTACATGTTCCTTACCGCCCACTTAGTGGTTGTACAGCGCAGCACGGCGCTGTATAACACATAATCATATCAAGAGCTTTACAGCTTTTCCGTTGATCTAGTGCGGCTTAAGTAGCAACCTGATCGAACGGAACGGTGCCATCCTGCCACCTTCCGCTCATCTGTTCAATAAATCCAGTCGGTTGATTGAATAGCCACAAATCTGGTTCTATGCGCCGATGTTCATTTCTATTCATTTCTGTTTTCCAGAATTCTTCTCGCCAATGCACGTTTTAGCATGAAACACCATTGCACGACATTATTATCAAATTATTGCATCAAGGAAGCAAGAGAACAGTTCGAAACTTTGAAGCACTCAACGCGAGAGAATAAACATTCTAAAACACGTCTGTAACCGTCCAAAACGTCCGGACGTCTGAGACGTCCGGCGGACCTTTTGGCGCCTAAACCGTCCAAAACGTCCGGGGGCCGCCAAAACGTCCGCCGTAAATTTTGCCCGCCTCGTTTTTTTTGTTTTTTCGTCGTAGGTTTGTAGCCGGACGTTTCTGCCTGACCGGTAATTCGTAGCCGGACGTTTCTGTCTGACCGTTGACAGGCTGAAACGTCCGGCTACGAATTACCGGTCAGGCCAAAACGTCCGGCTATAAACCTACGAAAAAACAAAAAAAATGAGACGGGCAAAATTTACGGCGGACGTTTTGGCGGCCCCCGGACGCTTTGGACGGTTTAGGCGCCAAAAGGTCCGCCGGGCGTCTCAGACGTCCGGACGTTTTGGACGGTTACACACGTCCATCACCCAGGATTACGCCCACGTATTTCTAAAGAGTGCATCACATCTTCTTGCGGCAAAAGTATTTCACGCAGTCAAAATTGCGATCCTGTGCAAGTCGCCCATCATCTGGAATAAGCTGGCAGTGGCATTTCGCAAACTCCAGCAAGAAGTGCTGCGCGATGCGGGACACCATCCCCAACTGCGAATCTCCCAGCCCATCCATGCACCACTTCTTCCCTCGATAGTGTGATGTCGGTCGCGGATCAGCCGTCTGCACCGCGCACAACATCTGCAAAAACGTTCATCAATTTAATCAAAAGAAGAATTTTAATGAGATTCCATGGAACAACACCATTATTTTTTATTCGATTAATCAGTAATTTACGCCTTTACCTTGTGGATCTGCTTCAGATCAGTACTGGGGCTCCTATTGCTTGCCAGTAAAGCCAGCCATTTAGCCAACATGTGGGTCTCTTCACCGCTTAACGCCGGCAGCGCCGCCTCCAGAACATCCCACATCGCGCAGCCCAAATCGAGCGTCCTCAGTCGCCCGACAGGAACATTAACCAGCACGATGGGCGCAATCCCCATTATATCATCGCCGAAATACTTCAGTTCAACTTCACAACCGACCAAGTTGATCCAATCATACGGACCAGTACGCATAGCTACGAAATCACAGAGACGAATCTGCGATCCGTTGGGTCTCTTTCTCAGCTCTTTCAATCGCTGCTCCTCCGACAGATGCCACACGCACTCGGTGTAGCGGCACGTTTCTACGGTCGCTCCCATCATAAGCCGGAACCGTGCGCCAACCAAATAGATGGCTCGCAAATGAACGTCGGTAGTGCACCGCGCAACAAAGTCGACCAGGTCGAAAATCTCACGATAGCCACCGGCAGTTAACTGTCCTTCCTGGGTCGCCACAATAATGCGCTTGGTGGTCGAGCGAAGACATTTGAAGATGGGAGAGATCACCGAATACACAAACCCGGAATATGTCTCATAAGAATCGCGTCCGTGGATTTTCACAGCAATGCTATGGGTGAGCTGCGGTGATTGCAAGATGGAGTTCCAGGCGGCACACACGCCGCCCAATTGTGTGTGCTTCTGAGTATCCAAGCAAGAAAACACATCCAGTAATAGCTCTACGGGTAGGACGCTGACATCACCCAGGATCTGGTTAGGGCCGGACTCCCCAATCGCCGCAACCATCCGCGAAAGACGACCAATGAGCTCTTTTTCAAACTGCTCACCGGCCCCCTGTCCATAGGTGCATAGGGTAAATTAAAAGTTTTTAAATTCAAAAGCAACATGCTTCACTGCTTATTTATTGTCTAACCCAGAAGCGCGAGTCTGCGGTTTTCGTATATTGCCGACGAATGTACCACAAGCATCCATCAGCAGCCTCCAGAAACGCTATTTGCAGTTCCCTGTCCTTTACCCACTTTCCCAAACCTCCGTTCAAGCTTTTAACGAGTTCTTCAGCCGACACTGAACTGCCATCTTTCGGCAACGCCACGCATTTCTTCGTATACGTCCACTCATCCACGCTTCGAGGTCCGCGAGAAAAGTTGGGCCCTGAAATGTGGGGTTACGGTAACGATTCCGGGGCACACTGTCTGATTCACGATACTAAATGCCTAACAAGTTACAAGGCTCACGTACAAGCTTGTCCCGTAATATCTAACACATTGACACACCGACAAATACCAGTTCAAGAGTTACGCCAAACTATATACTACGGCGCGCGAAGCCACATTATGCACGCTTGCTGCATTGGCGTGGCTGATGCAGGCCAAACAGTACACTTCGAGCAAGAGTATAAACTATCAATGTAAATTATAAAACGTTTATTTTTTTCTCTTTTGATGCTAACTATTACCATAAATATTGACTGGACAAAATTGCCATTGCGGTAGACGTAGTACAGTAGCAATCGTTTATAGCGCAAGCTTCGCTTTACAAAAGGCGCTTTCAACAATGCCATTACGTAAAAAATTACGGGACAGGCTGGCATACAGCCTGCTTAAACAGCTTCTCACCTGAACCAGGGAACGAGTATACTGTTGGAGTCGACCGACCGATGGTCTCCCACCACCTGTTCGGTGTTCTGTAGCGGATCCGATTCAGCGGAAAAATGTCCGTGCAGCAGCGTCCGCTCTCCCACCATCGCAGTACGGCTACGTGTTGTAACAGTGGACTATCAGTGCGGAGGAAGTCAATATGTGACACCATGTTGTCCGTCTCGTGAACGAACTGCTTCAAACTGAGCAGTTCGGCCGGAAACCACGTCCATGGTCCGGCAGGGATGCCTGGTAGCAGTACTTCGACAGCAGAGCAGAAATCGCGAAATTCAAAAACATGAGCCACACCGTACACATTTAGTGGACCGGCAGCAAGTTGATCAGACAGAAAAAGTCGATTGAATGGAATTAATTCGTGTCGTCGCTTGGGACATAAGAAATCGAAGAAGAGCCCCGTATCGGCGACGTCCACTACACGCCCGTAGCGAAGCATGCCGTCGTCTCCCAAAACATCAACACTGTTCCAGCGGGAAACTGCGTCCGACATGGCTGAAGTCGACTACGGACAACGAAGGTCTGGAACTGGAATAGTGGAATGCTTGGTTAATGCTGTCACGTTACTGCCATCAAACGGTGTAAACCTCAATCAGATTACGTCGAGATAAAAAGCAATTGTCCAGATGATACAGACCTTAGAGGGCGTCGCATTTCTTACCGGATTTTTGTAACGTCACAAAGTTCTTGGTTGGCCTAAGCAAAATAGAAAATCGTGCAGTGATTCAAATAAGGAACCACGGCAAGCATGAGAACGTTTTAGACTTGTAGTCATGATCCCTCTTCTGCGACTGACTAACCAATGATGGAAAAGGCTGAACGTGGTGCATAACGAAGAATCGAAGATGAAGTTGTTCCACCGACTTTTACGGAAAATTAATAATCTGCCAGAATACAACGTACTGTACGACTCTACGATACGTAGTGAAGCGCTAGTGCTATGCATTTTAACCCTGGGGATATTAATGTACGATGTGCGTACGTGATGTGCTGTTGATACGACGTGTTGCTCATTTATTATCTTTCGCTGTTTTTCTTTTTTTACTTTGGCAGTTAATCCGTCCACACTAACTGCAGGTTTAGCGAGAGATAGAAACAACGACTACTTCGAAGTAGTAGTAGAATACATAAAACAGACCAGACGTACGGCACATCCCGTACGTACGTTCTACAAAGCATTCTCAGGGTATAAAGCATGCCTTACGTTACGTAACGTACAGCAAGTTGTATTCTGGCTTAACAGAAGTACTATCAGTATTTCTACAGGAGTCGGTTGGAGTACTTAGTGTCAATCTTGTCCATTATGTTAATCAGTCCCAACTCACTCCCAAGAGAAGAGACATCAGTTTTGATTATCGTGCTGATGCTTGCCGTAGTTTCTAAATCTGAATTACTGCGCCATTCTCCCTATATTTTGCTGTAGGTTAGGGGACCCAAGAACTTCCGACTTTATAGAAATCAGGTAAGAAATGCGACGCCCTGTAATGCCTGTATCATCTGGATATTTGTGTTTTTCATTCAGATGTCCTCTAACCGACGTTTGCATCTTTTTTTGGCAGACGCGTTAGAGAGCATCAACCAAGCATTCTAGCGGCAAACCCTTCGTCGATTGTGGCCAACGTCAGCCATGCCGGACGCAGTTTTACGCTGGAACAGTGTCGATGTTCTGGGTGATGATGGATTGCTGCGTTACGGACGCGTCGTGGACGTTACGGACACTGGCCTCCTTGTCGACTTTCTGTGTAACCATCGACGACGCGAGTTAACGCCGTTCAACCGAATTTTCTTGTCGGACCCATTTGCTGACGATACACTAGATGAGTGCCACGTGGCTCATGCGTTCCACCATGGGAATTTTAGCATCGCCGTCGACGTGCTGATGCGAGAGACCACATCCGGAGCATGGACATGGTGGCCGGCGGAATTACTAGTACTTAATTTGAAACAAGACGCCGTTTCTCCGGATGGCGACATCCGACGTCCTGACCGGTTTCACATAGATATTCCATTATTGTACGATGTGGCCGTGGTGCAGTGGTGGAAAAACGGACGCAGCTACATGGACATTTTCCCGCTGAACCGGATTCGCTACAGAACGCCACTCAACTGGTGGGCCACTGTCGGGCAATCAGTTCCAGCTGCATATTTGTCCCAGGGAACAGGTGAAGCTTAATCAGAACCATATAGTTAGTCCTGTCAGATATCAAATATCGTTAAAGAGAAAATGAGCTGAAAGCCTGAAAGGGTAATAATATGACATCCATTTGCGTTCTCCAATATTTCAGGACTCGCGAGCCATCGCCCATGTTATCGAGGGCCCCGAAGCTTAGACGAATGGAAGTTTGCGAAGCGATGTGTGCCGTTGCCTCAGGATTACTGTTCATTGTCGGGTGAAAAATTAGTACAACTTGTGAATGATGAAATAGGTAACTGGAAAAAGGATGAACTGCATCCTGTTTGCGTGGAAGTTGCTAATGGCCACCTGTCATACATTCTTCGGCAGTTTAAGAAAGCGAGGGAATCGCGCTTCTTGGTAAGAATTTCATTAGTACACGTTTCATCTGCCTCTCGGATTTGACAAATCAAACGTTCACCAGTCTTTGGACGTTCTGCACAGGCGGCTTGGGAACGGTTTGAAGGGGAACTCACCACCGATCTCCCGTGGATCATTGCTGCCGCGGTGCCCCACCCTATCCAGGTCCTAGGTGATGTCAGCGTTCTACCCGTTGAACTATGCCTGGAAGTGTTTTCTTGCTTAGACACTCAGAAGCAGACGGAATTGCGTGCTGTGTGTGCCGCTTGGGACGCCGTCTTACAGTCACCGCAGCTGATTAATAACATTCTTGTGAAAATCTGCGGACGCGCTTCCTGGGAGAAACGTGGTGGATTGGCCTATACGCTGATCTCTCCCATCTTCAAATGCCTTCGCTCGACCACTAAGCGCATTATTGTGGCTACCCGGGGAAGGATGCTGGATTCCGGTGAATGTCGGGAAATTTTTCGCATGATCGAATTTATTGCGACGTGCAGGACCGACATACATTTAACTGCTATTTATTTGATTGGCGCAAGACTCCGGCTCATGATGGGAGCGGCCATAGAACAGTACTACTCTACCGAGTGCGTGTGGCACCTGCCGGAGGAACAGCGTTCTAAAGAGGTCAAAACAACGGCTCTCTAATTCGCCTCGGTGATTTCGTGGCAGCTGGGCGTGCTTGTCCGTGTGACTGGATCAACTTGGTTGACTGTAAAATCGAACTGAAGTATTTCGGTGATGATGAGACCAAGAGTGCGCCTAGACTGCTGATCAATATTCCTGTCGGGCAAATGAGGACGCGGGATTTGGGCTGCGCGATGTGGGATGTTCTGGAGGCGACGCTGCCGGCGTTAACCGATGATGAAACCCACTTTTTGACCCAACGGCTTGCTTTAATGACCAGCAATGGAAGCTCCTGCGCCGATTTGAACATGATTCACAAGGAAATCCATCGTAATCAATAATCAACCGGATGTAAAACGGTGTTGTTCCGTGTTGTTGTTGTTGATTTTGTTAGAACCGTGTTGTTGTTGTGGAATCTTTCTTTAAATTCGTATTATGTGGAAGTTGTTGAACGTTTGTTGCAGATGTTGTGTGCCGTACAGACAGCTGATCCGCGACCGACATCCCACTATCGCGGGAAGAAGTGGTGCATGGATGGACTGGCAGATCTGCAGTTGGGGAAGGTGTCCCGCATCACGCAGCACTTTTTGCTAGAGACGGCGAAATGCCAGTATCACGGTAGTCGAGACTATGGGCAACCTGCGCAGGACCGTAATACTGACTGCTTGAAATATTTTTTTCCGAAATAAAATGTTTTTGAAAACAATGGAGTGGCTAATCCCGATTCGTGGGTGATGGGTTCACCTTCCTGCGTCGAGAAAGCGAAGGACTTGAGCAGGACCGGGTTGGCCTTGGTTTAATAATCTGATGGAAGCATCTTACACTGTTTTATGTGCGTTTGAAAATTTTTATCTGATCTTACTGGCCTTGCCTAATTAAAGAAAGACGTAATCGACAGTAGTACTACTCGAAACGGACTTTAAATGTGTTTTGTAAGATACAGAGCCGGGAGTTCTGTAAAAGTGAATCTACCAATGGTACAGCGCTGAATCTTATAGAGCGTTACAGAGCAACGAGACCACGGTTTCCAAAAGCGCCCAGTTACCGTAGTTGAATTGGTCAACGATTTATTCATTTTCACAACAATTTTGTGGCAGTTTCCTTTCTGTTTTTCTGGCGATCTGAAGTTTTGTTAAGTTAAGAAATCAAACGACTGGTGAAAAAGCGGAAGGCCATTGCATGTAAAGTACGCTGAGGTGTTCCTCGCGCTGACGGCTATGGCGAAGCTGCTTGTTGCCACGATACAAATTCAAACATGCACAGTCGGAGGCAGCTAAAATCAGTGAACAAAGCAGAACTGGAATGTTGATTCGATAGAAACAATTAAACTCCCGTTAATTACACCCTCAAAACTTGAAAATTAAAAATAGGACTTAGACGTACAGCGGACTGTGCACCCACATCAAAAATAACTTTGACGTAGCAAGAAATGCGAGTTCTGTATCGTAACGGAGCCAGGAGAGTTCCTTTTAGATACAGAACACTTTAACTCGGCCGTCCAATCAGAGGTAGGGGGGTGTGATCGAAAAATTACAGAACTTCCGGCTCTGTATCGTACAGAGCGCATTTAAAGTGCCTTTCGAGTCTAGCTAGTATTAGTTTTCTGTAAAATACTGCAAACAGATAACCGTATTGAACAATCATGGGTAACTGGTAATTTAAAAATTGTGAAAGGTTGGGAGTAATTTCAGCAGTCGATATTTGTTTTCGTCCGGGATGCGTAGTAAGCTTATTGACTGAATGACCCATCTAGTGCATACACCATGTCAACAACGTTTTTATGGCTTGAATATACTGTATATGTCCTTCTACCGATAAAACCGTTGAACCAGCTCAAAAATATTCTGTACGGAAAAAGGTGCCACGAAATTTTAAGTTATTTCAAACTGGGACGAAATAAATTTTTCCATGACTTCAAATTGCAAGTCACTTTTCTCAGTGAAAGAGTCTTGCATTTTTTAAAAACGTTTTGTTGTTTCCAGTAGCAAATACTGTTGTCGAATGGATGAGCATAAGCGACTTACAGTGCGGTTAGGGATTTGGGAGTAGCAGACCAACAGACGAAACCGACATGCTGTTCAGCCAACCAGAGCAAGTGGCAGTGGCCCAGTCGGAACAACATGGCCCAACTGGCAGAAAACAGCAAACGCGGGAAGTACTCATTCCTTGAGCAGATGAGAGATTTATTTTACCTGCTGGCCGCAGAGACTTTTGGAACTTTTAAAAAGCTTTTGCGGAGATCGTTCGTTTCGTGGACAGAAAGATACGCGATGTGGAGCCTCGCTTTACCGCCTTTTTGAGACAGCGTTTAAGCCTTGCTGTGGTTAGGGGTAATGCGGCCGTTGTGCTCAGCACTTTTGGAACGAGCGTGAGGCCGAATAAACGGGATATCTTCAACGATTTGGGTTGTTTTACAAAGATTAAATTTGAATCAGTTTTATTAGTGCGACAGGCGAAGGCTTTCTTTTGTTATGCCGGTGACCTTTGCAAATAAAAACAACAAAAATATACTTTACTGAAAGCCAATTATCCGCTCTTAGATTATCATTCGTTAATCAAAAATTCCACAACGTCATATATCGCAAAAACAAAACATACGCGTAGTTCATACGCAAAACTGTCTTCGATTCAAGACACATACAAACACAATCAATCATGATGGACGTTGCAAATTAGTACTGAAGCATATTTCATCTCATTATCAAAACCCTGCCAAATAAAAGTAGGTACGCCGTGCAAACGACGACTAATGGGCTAAAACTGCTCGGACAATATCATCTTGACCGCTCACTTCGGCATATAGTTCAACCAGGAAAGACAGTGTGATTCGCGACAGCTTCTCGAGCTGCAAACCTTCCAGGCCGTCCACGCACCAACGCTTCCCACGAAACTGCGCCGACGACCGTGGATCGGCCGACTGCGTCGCGCACAGAGTCTGCAAACACAATAACGACTTACAGACATTAATCGAAAGCGGGAGAACTTCCTATGAGGGAATCTCACCTTGCAGATATATTTTCCGTACATTTCCCATTCCCCGATCCACTTGAGTCCGTCACAGAGTCTGCGCAGCTCTTCCTCCGTCCGTGCCGGTAGCGCCGCGTCCAGTGCACCCCACAAAGCGCAGCGAATATCCCGGCCTTGCGAGAGTCGCGCTGCGGGAATCTCCATCGCAATAGGAAATCCCCAATGTCGCCTGCATCCCGGTTCTAGCTGAGGAGCGTAGAGCACGCGCACAATGCAGTTCGCCAAATGGACGGCATCGCAAAGAAGACTGCTGCATAACGCAAAAAACTCCTCTAAAGGATAGTAGCTATACGTTTCATCCCGTATGTTTTTGGCAGGATCCGGCTGGCACAGTACACACTCGTCTGTGTGCGTAGGATCGACACCCCAGCTAATATGCAGGCTTGGTTCGCAACGGCTAAGCAATATACTGCGCAGGCGGATTCCGGCACGCTTTTGCGCCACATAGTGGATCAGGTCGCCCAGCTGCATCAGGTCACACACGCGGACGTGCCAGTTTTTACCGTCAATTACAATGTGCCGTGTGCCACACTGCAAGCGTTTGTAGACCCTTGCCACCCAGAAAAAATCCGCGAATCGCTCCTTGAAAACCGAACCGTCCCCGATCAGAATGCAGCTACGAAGCACGGGCGTTTCCATCATCGTGTTCCATGCCGTGCATACCGCGCGCAAATCCATCTGGGCCACCGTCTCCAAGTGCGAAAACACTTCCAGCCACAATTCCACCGACAGCGCTATACCGGCGTTTGTTGGTGGGACATCATCGGGAACTTTGAACATGCTGACCAGCTCCTTCTGGAAACGGAGAACAGCCTAAAAATGCGAATACGCGTGCCAAAGACTGTTTACAAAAAACTATTCTTAGGTTCGAATTTTCCTTTCATACCAACAACTGCTCTGCCCACCAGGAGCTTCCTTGCGCATTACAACTCTGGTAAATGTAGCCGAGACGGCCGTCCACCTGTTCCACCACGGTCACTGCGCAGTGAAGAGGATACCAGTTGTATTCGTTTAATCGCTTGATGAGCATCTCTGCTTCCTCGCTGCAGAACAAGCGAAATTCGTCATCCAGCTGCACTGTATGCTTGACGAAGGTCTGTGGGCCGATGAGATCGTTAGGATCAGCATCGTTAGTTGGCGAATCCACCCCGCTGCCTGACGCAGTCCGACGGCAAGCCATTCGGCGCATTGTGAGCGCTTCCTCCACTGGCCAACGGAGGCGTTCCATGGGAACAAACTCTGTACACGGCATTCCGCTGTCCTTGCGTTGCCAGTGTACGTCGATCCCATCGCACGCCACGCACAGCTTTTTCCGCAGGTAACTGACGGCTTCGCCAGCGAGCCAGATCCAGGGGCCGAACGAAGTCTCCGGCACCAGAACTTCCACGGGAACGGGAGTACTCTGCGCAGTACACGCCCGAACGAGCTCGTATTGCTGCAATTTGTTAGGCCAGAAGACGCTGCCGAATGGAATATGCTCACGGCGGCGGTTGGGACAGAGCATGTCGACGAAGAGCCCGCTGTCCGCCACGTCCACCACGCGTCCGTACCGCATCTTCCCGTCATCTCCCAGAACGTCCACGCCGGTAGCGAGATGCATTCCGCTAGGCATGGTTGACAATGTTTGGCAAAAATTCCGAACACTGTGTGTAGTGGTGCGAATCGAATACCGTCCGCCCGAAACTTTCTCCTAGACCAGCAAATCAGTCATGAAAT